CATTCTCTTGGGTATGGACAAGGAATGCCCGTCTTCTTCATCTCTTGAGCGGAAATCAACGTATTGATTTTGCTCTCGAGGTTTTTAATCTTCAAGCTTTCACCTGTGTTTTCGCTAGCATTCTCGTTACCACCCCCTGCATTGACCGGAGGATTATTGGCATTATGAGCTTCATTTGCATTTGTGTCCTCATCTTCCAGATTAACCTGGTTACGACGACTTGGCTCGCCTTGCTGGTTCGTCAATGCTTGGATTTATTGGTCGTGCATTTCTCTCATGTTCTGTATGGCCATCTGCATTTTGAACCTGAAGCTCTCCTGTTGTTTAGCCATGGCTTCTTCAAGCATCTTGGCCACTTGTTCTGCACTTATCATAAGTGCCTCGCGGGGTTGTCCCTCGCTGGATACCGTATTATCTGATGCGATCGCAAAGCCGGCATCCGATTCTTCATCTTCCGAAGATAATCTTGTCCGAACCCTACCGTAAGTTGTTCGTTTGATGGTTCCAGACTGCAGGCGGGTTATACGCCGGGGTGCTTTCAGAATCGACTCGAGATTATCCCGTGCCGATGTCCCTTTGCTGGTCATGTTAGTAGTGACCCTCGGAAATTCTCCGTTTTTAACCACCGTTCTCTTTCGTCGAAAACGCCTAGGCCTTGGTTTTGGCGTTTCGGTACTGAGCCTTTCGAAAACTGAAATTCTCTCAGGGACTGTCTTGATGCAGTTGCACTCGGACAATACTGCCCGAATGAGTTTAGAATAGGGGCATTGAGTCTCTAGTTCTCGAGGACTCCTTTTTCTGGTTTTACTCGTACCCTCGACGTAATAGTATAACTCGTCTACTTGAAGGTCGGAGTAATCCATCGTGTGTTGGCACGACTTCTCAGGTATAACATTATCACTATCAGATGACAATGTTTCCTTCTGAGGGCGAACTGCCTTCTTCGGGCCTTCAAGAGTCAAGCGCCTCGAAACATGCCTTTTTGGGCGTGAGTTTTAAGCGGGCTCTTGGACTTCGATGCGCAAATTAGTACGCACAGCTACCATGAACTCCTTGTCATGTTGAAGGTGGCGGCGACCCCCAGCATGTTGAGTCGTTCGGGGCTTGTTCATCGGGCCCAAACGTTCTTGAACTGGAGCTTTGCATCGTCCATCGGGAAGTGGACCGAGGCGCTCCAAAACTGACTTATTTCTTCGGGATGATTCTGCGTGACCTCCCGGAGTAGCCATGGGAATTATCGGCGATTTGGAGTGGTTCGCCGGAGGTTGAACTTTTGCTGAAGGCTGCAAAGGTTGCTCTTTAGCCTGAACCGCCGCTTCAGACTTTGGCCTCCAGACATGGCGGGTTGGTGGCGGCTTTTTGGCCACTTCCTTCTGCAGTCTTCTACGAGCTTCCTGGACTTGAGCCCGTGCTTGCGCTGACAGTGCGCGGCGCTTGCGAATGCGCTCATCAAGCGTTGAACGATTCTGTTTGACACGGATCCATTCATTAGTTGGCGGCTTGGAAGAGCTTCCATTCGTCGGTGGTTGAGGCTGTTTGCCTCTCCTGTTCTTCAGATCCGCGTTATAGCGTACTCCGTCAGTAGACTCCATCGCCTTTGCGAGTTGCCGCGCCAGGCGTTGACGTCGCCTCTGGCGGGCTCTCTTCGAGAGAGTCACAACGCCCTCAACGGTGGAGGCATCGGCGAGAACAGGGTTGACCTGGTTGGAGGTCGGCGGAACTTCCCCCGACGCAACTTTGGCGTCATGGCATTTTGCACTTCTTCATACCAACGGACTTTTCTCCTGGAGGAGAACTTCTTGGACTTGCGGGGGGAGGTGGATCCGGACGAGGATGACAGATACTCCTCGAACTTTTGTTGGTCGAATTCATACTCGACCTCCTCCTCGACCGGGATCGAGATCCACGGCTGCGACGCAACGATCTCGGCAGCGAGATCGGTGGCTCCCACTGTGGTCGCCAGATTGTTCGTGGTGAAAGTTTCTTTCTACGATTCCATTGCACTCTCAAGTAATAGTTTTTTGATTACAAAAGATCCGGTCTTTTTATAAGATCCGGTTACAACAAAATCAAAGAAAAATAAAAATTACAACTTTCCTTATTTGTCAAACGAATCACGAGATCCTGTTTTGCGGTCTCTCGCTTTTGTGGGTTCTTCGCTTGTGCCGGGGTTAATCCGTGGACCACCGCGCGATCTACATCCGGTCGGATCTACACGATATGACGGGTGCTATTTCACGAAGGAAATAACAGCCGGGGGTAGTATTTCGCCAAGGAAATAATAGCCTTTAGTAATCGAAATCGACCAAGCGAAATCGAGACTCTTCTCAGGATCAAAGACCAAGCTCTGATCCGAAGGGAAACCGTGTAGATCTCAGATCTGATCTCTCTCGAACTCCTGCCTTATTTGGCGTAGATGATCACCAAGAACCAGATCTGAGAGTCAGAGTCTTCTAAGCTTTGAATCCGAAGGTGAGTTCTAAATCCAGCAGAGTTTCGGCTCCAAAATTCTAACCTCTTAAACAATGAACCAACCCCTCTATTTATAGGCACTGAAAGCGGATCTGGGCTCAGATCTGGGCCCAGATCTGCCCGTGGCTCGGCCAGGTGGCTCGGCCACTTGGGTGGCTCGGCCACCGAGCCACCAAAAGGTGGCTCGGTGAGCCACCCAGTGCCGGCCGCCGAACACCCTAGTGCGGGTGGCTCGGCCTTCGAACCACCAGTAGGTAGCTCGGTGGGCCGAGCCGACCTCAAGGTGGCTCGCCGAGCGCACCATTTGGTGGCCGGCCACCGAGCACCATTTGGTGGCTCGGTCACCGAGCCACCTAGGTGGCTCAGTGAGCCACCTGAATGACTCAGTACTGGCCGAGCTCTCCCGGGTGTTCGCCGTTGAGTCAGTTGTCCGGTTTCGCGGTTTATCGGTTTATCCGAGCTTCGTCGTTGATCTGAACTCTGATTTGACAGTCCGGATCCTGATTTGGCAGTAAATCTGCTTCGGTGTTCGAGTTCGAATCCATTCCACAGTTGGATGACTCGTTAACTCACCGAACCGTTAGCTTGATTCCGCACGCGAGTGGATTTATTCTGTTGTTTGCGTGCGGTTCGTTAACCTCGTCGCCTCGTTAATCCGCTTCGTCGCGTGTCACTTGGCTTCGGTGTTGTGGACTTACGATCGTGTTTAGATACGTCACCCGATGGTTCGTTGGTTTGTCGAATCATCGTGCCGAGCTGTGCTAAGGGACTCATAGGCAGTTTTATACGCCTATAACTTCATTTTGACAAAATGACTTAAATGAAGTTTTGAAATCTTTTGATTGGATTTATAGACTTAGGACAACTTCATTTTGACAAAATGACTTAAATGAAGTTTTGAAATCTTTTGATTGGATTTATAGACTTAGGACAATATGTAAACTAGTATTATTAAGTGCATAAACCAAAAATACATTATTTTCCCAAAAATGCACATATTTTGATAAAAATTGATGTGTGTGTATAGAATTTGAGCTTGAAGTATTTACTCATGAAATATAACACTTAAAATAATATACCCAAGTTGATTGCATATGAAGCTTGATCTTGAATCTTTGACTTGATTTGTTGGCTTCAATATTTGAGATATCGTCATTGCAAACTTTTTCAACATGGATACATATTAAACAAAAAAACTAGAAAATATACAGTTATAAATTGTTTGTTAACCATCAAAACTAGGTTAGATAGTAGGCTCATAAACATGAGTCCTAACAATTTTGACCTTGCAGAATCGGAGTTCATTGATATCAAGGCTGTCGACATAAGAGAGATTAGATAGCGTCGGAAATCATTGATGTTAGATAGAATCGAGGTAGAGAGAAAATTGAGGGAGGTGATGCTCAGCGTTGGAGTGAATTGAGAGGGAGAGAGGGGGGATAGAGAGAGAGAGAGAGAGAGAGAGAGAGAGAGAGAGAGAGAGAAATTTGGGGGAGGAGGTTTGAGTTGGAGAGAATGAGAAAGAATTTTAAGAGAGGAGGAGCAGAGGTTGAAATTTGAGAAAGAGACCTAATTGAGAGTGAGAGAGACCAAACTAAGGGAGAGAGACGGCTATGCCCTAAAGATAATGAGAGAGAGAAATCAGAGAAAGAAATAAAATTGAGGGTAAAAGAGAGCGTACTGAGGGAGAGAGCCGGTTATGCTCTAATTTTGCGTATATATACAACCGACAAATATACAAGACTACTATTCCCATGTATTTGTTGAAACCATTGTTTGTTTTTGTTTAAAACACGGGACTATCATGGCGCAGTATTAAGATATTTATTTTTTACACGGGACTATAGTCCCATGTATTTAAAAGAAGTATGATTATGGATTTCTAATTTCACGAGACTACTAATCCCGGTATTTTAAACAAGATATTTTGCAAAATCAATCTCTTTTTGGCCAACTTTGATGACGTCGATAGAAAAATGTCGATTTTGCTAATTATTTTATAACTTGATCAATTTTGCTAATATTTTTTTAAAAATGGTCTTTTTTCAAATAATTCTCCATCTGAAATTTATCCGTGTTTACTTTGAAATAGATAGTTATGTTAATTTGTATCCCTCCTTTATACTCATTGAGTAATTAGTTTCAACTAATTTTTGTTGATTATACTGTTTAATATACTAATAATAGTACTCATTCAAAATTGATGATCGAATATGTGGTAGGTCTTTTTTTCTCCCCAACATAAGGTCATGTTTGGTTATAGGATTAGCAGGAGTTAGTGACCAACTCTTATTAACTCTTTCTATAGAGAGGATAATATGGGTGCAATATTACAGGGAACAAGCACAAGCACAGCACAGTCTGAATTGAATTTATTTTGGGACTTGAATCCAATCTATATACTATTACTAATCTATATACTATTACTAATAAGTGTTACTCTTGGTTATGCCACTTGGCAAAAATGCCACTTGACAAAAATGACCCATCTCTATCTATAAAAACTCTTCCCCCTGAAACCGCCACCTGGCACTTCATTCAATTCCCAAATTCGCCGCTTCGTCTCCGTCGACCACCGATCTTTCCCCTTTCTTAGTTCTGCCGCTTCGTTCTTGGCTCCGCCGCTTCGTTCTTCTCTCTTCACTCTTAACAATTTCCACAGAAACCGTAGCTTTTGAGCAAAACGAACATGGTTGATTACGCCATGGCCATCCACAAGAACCTCTATCACTCTGAAGAGGTTCCTCATGGTCAGATCCGTAACCCTAGGTTTTTTATTCTTCTTTATAGGGTTAGGGTTTTTTATTTGTGTTTTGTTTGTTTTTGCTAATTAAAGATGTTTAATAGGAGAGCGGAGATCGTTTCGAGGCTGAAATCATTGGAGGAGTCTGCAGCTCTTTTGATTTCGTTCCTTCAAAATCCATCTTATGATCAGGAGCTCGAGGCTGATAAGCAATATAACGTCCAGATGCTCAGTGACCAGTTTAAGGTTCTTTTTATTTGCTATGGTTGTATTGCTAAATTTATTTGATTTAAATTTGAACAGAAATCTGCAGAAAAGTTGTTATTTTGCTATTGTTTACTTGAGATTATCAAATATCCTTGAAACTATCAAACGCTTTAGGGGTTACTTGTAATATCAACATAAAAAAGTGAATTGGAAGCAGATTTTCTTAACATATTTTAGTTTTTTTTATTTTGGAAATGTGAGGAACAAAGTTAGGGCTTTGGAGTGTCAAATTGGCAAATTAGTGTCAATTTTGAAAACTTTGGCATCAAACTGACGAAATAAAACTTCTGGGTATCAAAGTTTAAAAGGGTGAAACTTTCGGCAATTAAAGTACTATAATCCTGCACTCCAGCAATTAAAGTTTTCCTTCGCCGAAACTTAATGGAGGATTTGCTTGATGATGTAGATAAATTCACTGAGAAAGTAATTGGTTCTTTTGTAAGAATAAGGATTTCAAGTGCAGTGCAGAAGCAAGATATGTATCGGCTTGTGCAAGTTGTTGGAACATCTAAGGTCGTAGAAAAATATAAAACAGGCAGAAAGACCACAGACTTCATATTGGAAATACTAAATCTGAACAAGAAGGAGGTTATAACGATAGACATAGTGTCAAATCAGGATTTCACAGAGGAAGAGTGCAAGCGCTTAAGACAAAGCATAAAATGTGGATTAATAAATCGACTCATTGTGGGAGATATCCAAGAAAAAGCCATGGTCTTTCAAGCTGTGAGAGTCAATGTTTGGTTGGAAAGTGAGAAGCAAAGGATTGGTCATCTACGTGATCGTGCGAGTGAAACTGGCCGTAGAAAGGAGCTTAGAGAATGTGTAGAAAAGCTTCAGCTTCTGAACTCGATAGAAGAACGTAATCGGAGATTAAATGAAGTTCCAAAAATACATTCGTACCCTAAAATGGATCCTGATTATCTATTTTATATGAATAATCCCTTACATTCGTACCATGAGTGATAATCACATTTTATTACAATTTTCTACCCTCATTATCTATTTTATATGAATAAATATACCACTAATAACTGCTTTTATCTTTAATTACAGGTTAATGCAGAATAAAACCCAAAAATCCCATCTCTCAACAAAGGCCCTTGAGTAAATGAAGAAATAAGAGAATTCAAGAAGCCAAAATGAAATATTTGAGCTTGGAAGCCCAAAGCCCATCAAACAAATTACACCAAATGAATTGAACTAGGCTACATTGGACCAAATTTGATTGGAGATTGGATTTGAAATTCAAGATTGTAATTGGACTTGGTTGCAAAAAAAAAGCTCTTCATGGACCGAATGAAATGCTGCTGGAGATTGGATTTGTAAATGGGCCGGATTTTTATTTTTGAAAATCAAATGCTATGGGCCAAGGACTTGCAAGCTCTTCATTGTTGTTTTTTATTTTTTTTGGGAAGCTCTAATAGGCCGCTGCAGATTTCATCCTCTTTTTACAAATCAAATGAAGAAATGCAGACCGGACTTGATTTAAACTTGCAAAATCAAACAAATAATTGGGCCAGATTTCATTTTTTCATGTGCTGCAAATGACCGGACTTTGGAAATGCATTTGGGCTGCTGCAAATGTGGAAAATCAAATAAATCAAATTAGGCCTCTTATGTTGGATTAGAGAAGAACAAAAAGCAAATTCAAAGGTGGAGATTTTTCCTTGGGGCTCAAGACAAATCCAATGGCTCATATTCATTAAAGATTACTATAAATAGGGGTAGAGAGTGAGGGGTTAGAGGGTGAAAATTTTGTAAACTCCTTTTGGAGAGGAGGGCTACTCTTAATTGAGAAGGCCTTCCAAAAATTGTAACTTTAGTTGCAATTAATAAAAATAATTTTTTTTCTCTTTAAATTTGTTCTTTCTCCTCTTGTTGAATGATGAGGATGGAGATGAAGAGCAATTTGAAGGTTTGCATTTCTTTTCTCTTTTATTTCTTTTTAGTAATTTCTTTATTATTGCTTATTAGTTAGATTTAAATTCATGCTTGTAGTGTAGATTTACTTTCTTGTCTTTTTTATTTTCTTTTTGCACTTTAATTTGTAGAGTAGATTTATTTTTCTTGCATTTAATTTCTGCAATTTATTTTGTAGTGTAGATTTTTATTTTCTTTGTAGTTAGATTTATTTCTTGTTCATAGTTTAGATTTTTTTTTTTTTATTTTTGTAATTAGTTCTTTTTCTTATTTTTATTTCTTAAAGATGTGAATTTAATTCTTGTAGGAAGTTTAGAATTATATGAAACTAGTCTAATTTCCTTTATATTGTATGAATTATTCTCTTGCACTTAAAATGTTCATGTTTAGGATAATCAACTAGAGAACTAATCGGTAGAAGAAGAATTTGATAATCTATGCTTATCTTAAATGGTTTGATAGGTTATGCTTATGAATTCTAGGATTATTATCATGTTGTTGTTCTTATCATGAATAGTAATTTTAACTTAGATGATAATTTGATAGGTTACACTTTCCTTAAATGGTTTGATAATCTATGCTTAATAAATCTAAGTTGAAATATGATAAAAAGAGAATAGTTTATATTTTGTAATTGAAATTGGTTAGTGGATTATATTCTAGATTTCTTACCTCTTTTGAATCCTCCATCTTGACTTTCTTAAATTTTCTTTTCATTCTTAGTTTTATTTCTTGATTTTATTAATTCATATTTCTTGCCTTGTGATTTCATTTATTCTTTAATTCTTCCTTCTCTCCTCTAAAATTCAATTTATTATCTTTTGCATATATTCATAACAATCACTCAACAAAATCACACTTATTCTTTATTCCTAATTGTCACGCACAAAATATAAGAACCAAGTTTAATAATCTCTTAAAATCACCTTCTTCGTGGGATCGATATCTTTTTATACTATAACTTGATAAATTGTGCACTTGCAATTTTGGTACATAATTATGCCACATCAAGTTTTTGGCGCCGTTGCCGGGGAAGGTGCTAAAATAGGATTTTATTAACTTGATTCTTTAACTTGTGTATTTTTCTTGTGAAGGAACCGCTTGGAGCTTGAAAATCTTGGATTGAAGATCAAGAATTTGGAGCATTGCTTTCGGGTAAGTCTTCTTTCTAGTTTTCAATTCCACCCTCTTTAGCCGGGGCTGAAAGCCTTCATAGCAGTGGTGCCTCCCCATCTTTGCCGAGTGGTGCGAGCAATCCGCCTGTAGGGGCTGATATACCCTCTTCTGTTGCTGTCTCAGAGCCCGTCGGACCTCAACCCGAGGGGACGTCCGTTGGCGTCGGTATGTTCAGAACTTGCCTTTTGACTTTCCTTTTCATATTCGATAATCCACTGAGCTTCTATGTTTCTGCTTGTAGGATCTCGATCTTCCCTATATGAGCGTGTCCGTAGTCTTTTGGTCGATACCGATCCTGACAGAGAGGCTTTCCGTACGGACCTCAGTTTCTTCACCGCCTTCTATAATGGCTTAATCGAGAAGCTTCTTCACCGAGGAGGCGGCTTTGATCAGTTCCGGCGTTCCTTCTCTCGCCACATGACGATGATGAGGGAAGAAGGATACCCGGAATTGGCTGATTCCTTCACTGCTGATTTCGCCGCCCTGGAGTCAGAGATACGAGAGTTGAAGGAACTGGAGGTTACCGGGGCTTCTTCTTTCGTGTCCTCTGAGTTGGAGCATAGGATGGCGCAGTGGCGTGACCTGAGATCTTCCATCGGGTGTGAGCTTCAGTCACGTGAGAGCTCCATTGCGCATCTAATGGCTAACATGGCGAGGAAGGATAGGGAGAAAGCTGAGTTACTCCGCTCCTTGGACTCGAATCGCGAGGAAGCGACTAGGTTGAAGGAGGCCTTGAAGCGCGCCGAGGAATCCGCCGTTCTTATGAATGGCGAGGAAGCGACTAGGTTGAAGGAGGCCTTGAAGCGCGCCGAGGAATCCGCCGTTCTTATCGCAGATGACCTGATTGGACTAGAGCGTTCTCGTGACCAGGTACTCGAGGAGCTCGGATCTACTCAGGAGGAACTGATGAAATTGAAGAGTGAAGCTGCGGAGATTTTGAGCTGTTCCGAAGACTCCGTTCGAGCTGATCTGCAAGCAGAACTCGAGCGGAGTTATGTAGATAGACTCTTTAGCTTAAAGTCTCACATTCTCAGCCGTCAGATGCCTTCGGGCTAACGAGCTTTTTGTTGTATGCTTTTAACTCAGTCGATCAATGGAAACTCCGCATTTACTTCTTTTGTGATTTCTCTGTATATATATTATTTTTTTTCGAATGACAGATTTATGGGATTTTTGGCAAACCCCCAGCGGATCTACGGGTTCGGCGTTGGCGTCGTCGGAGGTGGATGATGGCGAGGTGGCAGGGGGTGGAGGAGCTCGGATCTGGGTTGTTTGATGGTGAGAGAGAGGAAGAGAGAGGGCTGGTTCAAGCTTTTGGGAAATGGAGAGAGAGAGAGGAGAACGTGAGAGGATTGGCTTTTAGTGGTTCAAGCTTTTGGGAAATGGAGAAGCATTAATTACTTCTCTTTAGTGGGCTGTTTATTTTACCTTATTACCCTTATGCAGCTTTAATCTCAGCCATTGGATGAATCTAGATCCAATGGAGAGGAGAGGTTTTTAGTTTTTAGGATAGTGAGGTTTGTATTTGAACCTCTCCCTATATATATATGTAGGCGTCAAAAAATGCTTACAGACATTCAAACACCACTCAAGACGATATAGAAGAACAATATACACGTCATCAAGCAACATATGGCGGCGCGGCAGGACATGGTGCCGCGGCTATGGCGCGGCAGACCAAGGTGCCGCGGCTAAGGCGCGGCAGACCAAGGTGCCGCGGCTAAGGCGCGGCAGCCTATGGTGTCGCGGCTTAACCGCTGCAACCTATGGTGCCGCGGCAGTTAAAGCAGGATGCTACAGCAGTTATAATACAGTTATCTGATGATTATTTAAAGTCCACGTGGCGGAGTATCAGAAATAGAACGTGTGCTGATGTGGAAAAGCAGTTAAACCACGAAAAAGGTGGTTAAAGGTCGTGGGAGAACTGTTTCAAACACGTATGAACGTGGGTGTAACTGCCCCTTTAGCCGCGGCAGTGTCGACTGCCGCGCTCTTTGGCCGCGACAGTGTCGACTGTCGCGCCCTTTAGCCGCGACAGCATCAGCTGCCGCGCCTAAAGAGACAGTTATTGACCAGCTATTTCTTCAGTTATCGTCTAAGGAGGCTATAAATACCCCCCTATGGCCATCATTGACAGGGGCTGAGCATTTTCCAGAGAGATTAGAGCAGAGAGCCTTGAGTTTTGGTGAATTAGAGCAAGAGAGAGAGTCTTCCTTCTTCACAAACATCCTCAAGAAGCTTCTAGCGAGTCCTAGAGATCTAAGCTCAGACTTGATCTTTGGAAGAGTGAACATCTTACATCGATAAGATATTCGCTTCAAATTCTTACTTCGATAAACGAAGGAAGAATCATTAAACCCCTCACGGTTCAATCAGAATCTGTGATTTGGTGGTCCACGAGTCAAAGCGCTCCCGGCACAGGCAAAGATCCCACGCAAGCAGCGATCCAAACAACGGTCCTGCGTTTGTTTCTCAAGAGTTGTAATTTTCCTTTTGTTGTGTAAAAGAAGTCTTATAAAAAGACTATTTCTTTTGAATTTATTGTAATCGACCGAAGATATAATGAATTCCACAACGAAACCAACTTTTGACGCAAACAAGCTGGCGACCACAGTGGGAGCCAACGGTCTCGCTGCCGAGACCGTTGTGTCGCAGCCGATCAAGATTCCAGTCGAATCTATGGTCGAATACGAATTCGACCAGATCAAGTTTGAGGAATATCTCTCATCATCCTCTTCAAGATCTTCATTATCTCGCAAGTACAAGAGGATCTCACAATTGAGGAAGAGTTGCATGCCAAAGAAGGCACAAAATGAAGACTCTCGCTTGATTGTTGCTGAGAATTTCACTCGCAATACTTCTGCTCACAATGGCTCTTATCTAGTTAAAGAGTCATCGAATCAAAGCCCGCCGGCATTAACGAAAAGAGCTCGTCGGAGACAACGTCAACGCCGTGCTCGCCAAATGGCTAAAGCCTTGGAACAAACCGACGGGGTTCGTTACCACGCGGACCTAGAGTCGAGGAGACATCGAGTGGTTCAGTTGTCTCAACAACCAATCACTCGTATCTCTGCTAAAACGACGGATGAATGGACTATTGTCAAAAAGACTCGTTCGACCCTCAAAGAACGTATACAAAAACGTCGTGCAAAAGCTGCTAATGCCCATGCTCTCTCACAACAAAGACGAGAAAAGAGAAAGGAAATGGTGACCAAAGAATCACCAAAACTTCGTCAAGTTTGGATTCCAAAGTCTTATAAACAGTTAAGTTATTATTATTGGTTGTTATTATTGGTCATTGGATGCTAAGTTTAAACAGTTAAGTTTTATCATTGGTTGTTATTATTGGTCATTGGATGTTAAGTTTAAACCTTAACTGTTTAGATATAATACTAGTTGTTAATTTAAATAAATGAATGTTAGTCAAAGACCACAATTGATAAGTTTTATTTGTAGATGTTAAATGTATGTAGTTAAGTTTTATTAAGTTTATAATATAACACTTAAGTTTTATAAGTGGTTGTTAATACCATTTAGTGATTGTTAATCTTAAATGATTTTATTTAATTATTGCAGGAAAAAGGTTAGAGCTGCTGCAGAAAGTAGGTGTACCGCTAGTTTTAGTGCTTATTACGACTTTATGAAGTACTTGAATCAAGGATGAAGCTGTGGCATTGGGATATTTATAAACAAATGATGGAAGATTTGAGTATGAGGCTTAGCTAGATGAAAAAAATATTATAACTTGTTTATATTTTATGTGAAATATTTCTCTGGGTGGTTTGTGGTATATGAGTGTTTTGTGGTATATGCAACATTTGGTTAACTAATATACACATTTGGAATTTTAACTATATTACTATATGTGATTTTTTGTTATAGTTAGGTACAAATTATAGTTAATAAGTATATGTGATACTTAACAAGAACAGTTTACAATAAACATGTACCTGTTATAGTTAATAGATACATGTGAAACTTAACAAGAACTTGTTATAAATTAATAGGTATACGGTATAGTTAACATGTACTTATGATACTTAACAGGAACTAGTTACAATTAACAAGTACAATGTATAGTTAACATGTATTTGTGATGCTTAACAGCAACCGGTTATAATTGTTCAATAAAATTGACACCTCGTTAAAAAAATCCTCACCGATCTCCTCACTTCTCTAAACCTCAATGAAAACAATTAACTAGAGATTTAGAGTTTTCCATTGGACTCAGGTATGTACTTTTTCTATAGAGGATTGTCAAGTGATTGAGGATATTGACGTGTTCAATGTCGGAGATCTAGCGGAGGTGAACATCAAATGGCTGCTCAACCATCCGCTAGTACTGGTGGATGGGGAGTTGGCTGCTGTTGAGAGCGTACCATTTGGACTTATAGGCATCCATTAGGTAGGTGATATTACTGTAGAACCAAGGATGACCAAGGGTTGACAGTTTCTTGATGGTGGTGGGAGTGACAAAGGAGGAGGAGGAAAGGACGATGTTCATCATGGCAGCAGAAGAGAATTAATGCTATGGTTTGAGGGCATGAGTGAGTTTAATGTGAAGGTGAAATGAGTGATGGGTATTTGGGAAATAAGAGAGAATAGGGTGGATGAGAGTGGGAGAGGGTTGCATTCGTGTTTGGAGGGAAAATTCAAAGAAGATAATTGAGAATATGATTTATTATATTATCTCTCTAACTGGTTTAGACAAAGAATGAATACAATTTCTCTCAATATAATTTCTCTCTAACTAACTTAGAAAAAAGAAATTACAATCTTCTTGTATCGGTTTTCCAATTTACAAAAGGGAAGAGGATCGACGGAGATCCACCCCTTTGTTTAAAACTGGGTTCTTCACGGTAGCGATGAGATACCTCCCTCGATATTTGTATCGATTTTGCTTCTCTTTAACGATCTGATGTCTCACTTCACTAGAACAGCTAATGTATACTTGTGTGGCAAGTATGAAAAGAACTCTTAAGAGTTTATGAACTCAAAACGATTTAAACTCTATGAAAAGAGTTGTTATTAAACCAAAAAATTCGGTTACTGAATTAAGCTATCTGTTGCTAAAAAGATCCCTCAAACCTCCTTCCTAATTAGCCCAAAATCTGATGCCAATCTCCAAAAATCTGATTTTTTTCCCCCAAAAAAATTGATTCCCCTACTCAGTTGAGTTGATTAGACATTTATAGGAGGATAATGGGGTGTAACTGACCCCTTAATCTGCTTCTAAGTGGGCGAGAATCCCTCAATATGTGGGGAAAATGATTTTGAAGCCATTTAGGTTGTATTTGAATGAGTCAAACACCTCGAGTTGGCGTTCTGGAACCAAACTCTACATCTTAGACTTGGGACGAAGAGTTAGGATTCTGCCTAATGCTGAAACACAATGGCCGCACTGCGTTTTGAAGATAAAATGCAGAGGTCACTCTATGTCTTTTAGAAGAGATTGTAGGTATGTAACCTCCCCTGTTAAAGCATTGCAAAGACCATTATTCTATAATCTTCACTTTAGCTATTTTTGAAATGAGAGTCATCGAATTGGAACTTCGCTGTTGATTATGAGAGCTATTGAATCAGAGCTTTTACCAGTCGTCGTGAAGCTCTTTAACTTTTAACATTTCTCGATCTAAATGAAAACTCTCTAATTTAAGCTTTCGTTTATTAACGTGAAAGTCGTCTGATTGTAACTTTCATTATCGAGATGCTGATGTAGAAGTTGTCAAATTGTAACTTTTATCTTTAAAGTTTGATAGGGATCAACTATCTGTTGTGATTTTAGACAAATTTTTGGAATACGTTGGATCCCAAATTTTGTTGAATGATTGTTCACTTTATCTGTTTTGAGGTTATTGTGAACTCGGTTGTCAAAATTTGCTGTACGTTGCAATTCTGCTTCCTGTATTGGCAATTCCTCGCAATTTCGGTAACGGTTAACCTCATACTCCTGTTGAACGTGTAGAAGTAGTCAAGGTAATTCTGATCACTTTAAACCAAACAAAATAACTTTTACGTCTTGATGATAATGAACTAAGTCAAACAAGCTAAAGCCCAAGTCATCATTGTTAGATCCATTAGTAGGATTAACTTTTTCCTCTTCTTCGGCAGCATGGATCCTTGAGATACTCCTTCAACTTATATGTAGATGTATTCAGTGTCAACAACACCAGTCAAAAGATTCTTGAAGGTATTGATGAACACCTCACGCGCAGCTGCAAGAATTGGGTAATAGAGAGCCAATGATAGCGAAGCAACCATAGAAACACCAGCTACGACCTTATCAACAAGGTCATCTTCAGTGAGGTTAAGCACCTTCAAGATTTATTAATCTTAGTTAGAATGTTAAGCCATTTAGAAGGATGAGTTACACAACAGATCGAGCTCGATAGTATCAGCAATATCGATTATAACCTGTCTATACTCAACAAGAGGCTGTACAGCTTTTTATTGTAAATCCGTTTCTTCTTAGCTTTCGTCACCTTGATGGTCATTACTAGCTTCTCTAAGTATTTGAGGATGATTGCTAAAATGCTTGTGTTGGAGAACTTTGCATTTAAAAGCGCAGGGTGAATCTTTACATTTAGAAGTTCAGGGTGAACTTTGTGTTTAGAAGTTCAACCAACATGAATGCAAAGTTCATGTTTTAGGCGGGTTTTTTTTCTAAAATCTTGTCCTGATTTGACAGCTCACAGCTGTCTATAAATAGACCGCTGGGGTCAAATCAAGAGTCATTCGACTCTTCGAACCTGTTCATCTTCTCCGGCAATTGAACGAAAAACTTTTTTTTGATTTTTCATACTAGCACTATTCATCTTCTTCTAGTCGTCGACTTCCATGGTGCCCAAAAAGAGGACCACTTTGAAATCAAAAATAGCCGCTGCCGCGGCTCAGAAACCCTCGTCGGCTTCGACTGTCGGCATTACCGCAACACGGGCGAGTGCATCACCGCTGGAAGTTTCCCTCGTCGGTGGTGAGTGTCGCCTGCAAAACTTGCTTCGACAAGTTTTGATCAACGAGGAAACAAGTTCTGATGTTGTAACGCAGAGTTCGAATTCTACATTCAACTTTTTTTGAAACGCAGGGTTGAACTTTGCATTTGATATTTTGAAACGCAGGGTTGAACTCTACGTTTGATTTTTTAAAACGCAGGGTTAAACTCTGTGTTTAATTTTTTTTTAAACATTTTTTTGAACTCTGTGTTTCATTTTTTAAAACACACGGTTGAACTCTGCGTCTGATTTTTTTTTGAAATGCAGTGTTGAACTGTGCGTATGATTTTTTTGAAACGCAGGGTTGATTTTTGCATTTGAGTTTTTGAAACGCAGGGTTGAACTCTGTGTTTGAGTTTAGTCTTTTAAGATCTTCTTTGGTCCTTCGCTAACTAATCATCTCTTTTATTTTGCAGTGCGCTATACCGATGAGCCTCTTTCATACCGATGAGCCTCTTCTTTAGTCTTTTAATATGACATTTAACCTCTGTCGGGAGATTCCCTCTTTAAAGATGCTGATAAGGAGCACACCGACACCATTACTCAAGACTCTCCAGCAACTCTCAGAATTCTGGTTACAGATGCTGTAGGCGTATAAAACTGCTTATAGGTCCCTTAGCACAGCTCGGCACAAACCGACGAACCATCGGGTGACGTATCTAAACACGAGCGTTAGAAGGATGAGTTACACAACAGATCGAGCTCGATAGTATCAGCAATATCGATTATAACCTGTCTATACTCAACAAGAGGCTGTACAGCTTTTTATTGTAAATCCGTTTCTTCTTAGCTTTCGTCACCTTGATGGTCATTACTAGCTTCTCTAAGTATTTGAGGATGATTGCTAAAATGCTTGTGTTGGAGAACTTTGCATTTAAAAGCGCAGGGTGAATCTTTACATTTAGAAGTTCAGGGTGAACTTTGTGTTTAGAAGTTCAACCAACATGAATGCAAAGTTCATGTTTTAGGCGGGTTTTTTTTCTAAAATCTTGTCCTGATTTGACAGCTCACAGCTGTCTATAAATAGACCGCTGGGGTCAAATCAAGAGTCATTCGACTCTTCGAACCTGTTCATCTTCTCCGGCAATTGAACGAAAAACTTTTTTTTGATTTTTCATACTAGCACTATTCATCTTCTTCTAGTCGTCGACTTCCATGGTGCCCAAAAAGAGGACCACTTTGAAATCAAAAATAGCCGCTGCCGCGGCTCAGAAACCCTCGTCGGCTTCGACTGTCGGCATTACCGCAACACGGGCGAGTGCATCACCGCTGGAAGTTTCCCTCGTCGGTGGTGAGTGTCGCCTGCAAAACTTGCTTCGACAAGTTTTGATCAACGAGGAAACAAGTTCTGATGTTGTAACGCAGAGTTCGAATTCTACATTCAACTTTTTTTGAAACGCAGGGTTGAACTTTGCATTTGATATTTTGAAACGCAGGGTTGAACTCTACGTTTGATTTTTTAAAACGCAGGGTTAAACTCTGTGTTTAATTTTTTTTTAAACATTTTTTTGAACTCTGTGTTTCATTTTTTAAAACACACGGTTGAACTCTGCGTCTGATTTTTTTTTGAAATGCAGTGTTGAACTGTGCGTATGATTTTTTTGAAACGCAGGGTTGATTTTTGCATTTGAGTTTTTGAAACGCAGGGTTGAACTCTGTGTTTGAGTTTTTGAAACGCAGGGTTGAACTCTGCATTTGAGTTTAGTCTTTTAAGATCTTCTTTGGTCCTTCGCTAACTAATCATCTCTTTTATTTTGCAGTGCGCTATACCGATGAGCCTCTTTCATACCGATGAGCCTCTTCTTTAGTCTTTTAATATGACATTTAACCTCTGTCGGGAGATTCCCTCTTTAAAGATGCTGATAAGGAGCACACCGACACCATTACTCAAGACTCTCCAGCAACTCTCAGAATTCTGGTTACAGATGCTGTAGGCGTATAAAACTGCTTATAGGTCCCTTAGCACAGCTCGGCACAAACCGACGAACCATCGGGTGACGTATCTAAACACGAGCGTCAGTCCACAACACCGAAGCCAAGTGACACGCAACGAAGCGGATTAACGAGGTGACGAGGTTAACGAATCACACGCAAGTAACAGAATAGATCCACTCGCGTGCAGAATCAAGCTAACGGTTCGGTGAGTCAACGAGTCATCCAACTGTAGAACGGATTCGAACTCGAACACCGAAGCGGATTTACTGCCATATCGGGATCCAAACTGCCAAATCAGGGTTCAGATCAGCGACGAAACTCAGACAAAGCACAAAACCGGACAACGGACACAACACCCAGAGGTGGCTCGGGGGCCGAGCCCCCCACCTCTAGGTGGCTCGGCCAAAACCGAGCCACCAAGAGGTGGCTCGGTGGCCGAGCCACCTCTAGGTGGCCGGCCAGATCTGTGCCCGGGCACAGTTCTGAGTGCCTATAAATAGAGGGGCATGACTCATTTGTGGAAGGTTGGAACTTTTGGAGCCGAAACTCTGCCGAATTGAGAACTGAGCTTGGAGTTTTGAAGACTTGAAGACTTGGACATTCAGATCTGGTTCTTGGCGAGCATCCACGTCACAAAAGGCAGGAGTTCGAAAGAAAGAGATCAGATTTGAGATCTACACGGTTTCCCTCCGGATCAAAGCTTGGCCTTTGATCCCGAGAAGAGTCTCGATTTTGCTTGGTCGATTTCGATAACTACGGGCTATTATTTCCTTGGTGAAATAATCCCCTCGGCTGTTATTTCCTTCGTGAGATAACACCCGCTATACCGTGTAGATCCGACCGGATCTAGATCGCGCGGTGGTCTACGGATAAACCCCGACGCAGGCAAAGAACCCACAAAAGCGAGTGACCGCAAAACAGGAGCTCGTGATTCGTTCGACAAATAAGGAAAGTTGTAATTTTTATCTTTTCTTTGATTTTATTGTAACCGGATCTTATAAAAAGACCAAATCTTTGTAACCGATAATCTGTTAATAAAGGAATCAATGGAATCAGCAAAGAAAGCAATTTTTCCCGCGAACAATCTGGCGACCACAGTGGGAGCCAACGATCTCGCTGCCGAGATCGTCGCGTCGCAGCGGCGGATCTCAATCCCGGTCGAGGAGGAGGTCGAGTATGAGTTCTACCAGCAAAAGTTCGAGGAGTACCTGTCATCCTCGTCCGGATCTACCTCCCCTCGCAAGTCCAAGAAGTTCTCCTCCAGGAAAAAAGTTCATTGGTTTGAAGAAGTTCAGAACACCAATGAAACTCTCACCCCAGCTGACGCCAAAGTTGCGTCGGGTGAAGTTCCGCCGACCTCCAACCAGGTCAACCCTACTCTCGCCGATGCCTCCCAAAGAGAGCCCGCCAGAGGCGACGTCAACGCCTTGCGCGGCAACTCGCAAAGGCGATGGAGCCCACCGACGGAGTCCGCTATCATGCGGATCTGAAGAGCAGGAGAGGCAAACAGCCTTAACCACCGATGAATGGCGACTCCTCCAAGCCGCCAACAAACGAATGGGTCCGTGTCAAACAGAACCGTTCGACACTTGAGGAGCGCATTCGCAAGCGCCACGCACTATCAACGCAGGCACGGGCTCAAGTCCAAGAAGCCCGTAGAAGACTGCAGAAGGAAGTGGCCAAGAAGCCGCCACCAACCCGCCAAGTATGGAAGCCGAAGTCTGAAGCGGCGATTCAGGCTAAGGCAAAATTGTTGCAGCCTTCGAAGCAAGGTCAACCTCCAGCGAATCAACCAAAGTCGCCGATAATTCCAATAGCTTCTCCGGGAGATCATACAGAATCATCCCGAAGGAAGAAGCCAGTTTTGGAGCGCCTCGGTCCACTTACTGAAGGACGATGCAAAGCTCCTGTTCAAGATCGTTTGGGCCCGATGAAGAAGCCCAGAACGACTCAACACGCTGGGGGTCGCCGTCACCTCCAACATGACAAAGAAATCAGGGCAGCTACGCGCACCGATTTGCGCATTGAAGTCCAGGAGCCCGCTGAGAACTCACGCCCAAAAAGGCATGTTTCGAGGCGCGTAACTTTTGAAAGCCCAAAGAAGGCAGTTCACCCTCAGAAGGAAACATTATCATCTGATGAAATGCCAGAACCAAGACCTAGGCGTTTCCGACGAAGAAGAAGAGTAGTCGAAGACGGAGAATTTCCGAGGGGCACCGCCAATATGACCAGCAAAAGGGCATCGACACGGGATAATCCCGAGTCAATTCCACCAGTACCCCGGTATCTAACTCGTCTGCAGTCTGGAGCCATTACACGAGGAACTTATGGTAGGGGTCGGACAAGACTACCTTCAGAAGATGAAGAATCTGATGCTGGCTCCGTGGT